TCCCATCAACCACAATTTCTAGTCTACAAAACTTATCCTTGTCAGTTCAGTTTGATTCTCTATAAAAATTATCTTCCAGATGCAACTGTAACGGTGGAGACGATGGGTGAAGGAGATTTCAATCAACTAGCGACATTTTTCCCACCGCCAATGTTCGAATAGACTGGAAGGAGGTGTCAGAGTCCCATGTTTTCAAATCCAAACTTCGGTGGCTGAAGAAGGAAAAAGTGAAAGTAGAGGTGGAAGAGGGTAGGTTATGCAAACCAACAGCAATAGGGCAGTGAACAAGGAAGACAATAATGATTATTGGCATCTAATTGGGAGGGCAAGAGGTAAATTTCTCAGGAGATTCTATTCGCCAAAAAATGTAAAAACTGGTGAAGTGAAGGCAACAATGGAGAATGGAGTTCTTACTGTAACTGTTCCTGAACTGGAGAGGCATTATTTTCATATTTGTAGAGAGATTATGGTCAATTAGGTTTCTACATTATTCCTCACCTGGTTTTTGAATTTTTTTTATAAGTTTGCTAAATGTGAAATAGTATACTTAAAGTATTGTAATTATGTGTTTTTCCCTTTTTTCTCTAAATAATACGAACAATTTTGGCCTGTGTTTGGGTTGGCTTGTCGCGGGCTGGACTATCTGGCTCGAACTTTTTTCAAGCTGAGTCAAGTCTAGCCACGAGTTGTCCAAGCTAAATTGGCAACCCTACTAAAGGACCTAGTTGATATAAATTTTTTAAAATAACATTTTTGAAGAATGTATAATTAACATTTTTCTCTTTTTTCTTTTCAATCACACATTTTTTATTAAAATAATATTATACATTAATAAAAAAAAATTTACTCATTTTTCCACCACACTTACATTTTTACATGAAAATGAGTCTCAAAACGCCCCCTAAAATGTGCTGAACTCACTTCACATAATAATATTCCCCGTACAAGGGGAATAACTCACTTCACAAAACGACACACTATACCAACTTATCTTCTCAGCGATAGCTCTCCACCTTTAAATCGCAACCGTACCATCTTCAAGCTATCTCCGAGGACTACATAACTTTTGAAGGCCGTGTGTAACATTACCCACTAACAATGGCGGCCTGCACAGCTACAGCTTCATCTGCTGTTCTTCTGCCTTCCAATCCCAATTTAAAGGCTTACATTTCCCCCAAATCCATTTCCATCCCCTCTTCATTCTCAGGACACCGCAATCCACTCGTTTCCCATGCCCCTGCCTCCCTCTCCTCTCGCCCTTCTCACTACACACGACGGAGTTTCGCTGTTCGCGCCGTAAGTATCATTTAGTGTTAATTTTATGTGATGATATTTAAAATGTATTCTAGTAGTAGCAATGAATTTACGATATATTTTTCGCTTTTCAATTTGAACTTCATCTCGTTTCGAAATGCGTCTAAAATTGATGTCAGTAAATAATTTTTTTTTTTTCACATAGTATTTATAAAATTTAGAATTAACTAAGAACTTTTCTTGTTCTCATTTTGACTCACTATAAAAGAATCTGCGAACTGAATTTCATTTTCACCTTGTTGTCCTTTATTTAAATTGGACCTAAATTTCGTGTCTTAAATCAAGTTGTAAGACATGAAAATGAAAGGTAAATATTGCCCTCACAGTTTTGGGCTAGCTGTATTAGTCTTATCAGTTCTCTCTCGTTCTCTTTTGATTATTAAATATGTTCATTGGTTTTGTGCCCCAGCTGACTTCCTTAACTTCTTTGACAGAGTGAACTGCCACTTGTTGGAAATCAATCTCCAGACTTCGAGGCAGAGGCTGTTTTTGACCAGGAATTTATCAAGGTAATTTGCTGAAGAAACATTTTATGTATGTTTTATTGTCTTTCCCAGTATCATGCATTGTTAAATATACCAGATTCCTTAGGTGTTCATGTGTTTTGTATCTGTGGAGTTGGAGAATCACTGTCATTTTAACACTTTGAATAAAGTGCTCTAGAAGAATAGAACTCTGATTTGTTGATCGTAGAACTTTGGTATAAATTCTGTATGTTCGCATTTACTCCTCCCCCTCCCGCGATCTCTTGTTGACACTTTCTAATGCACTCATTTTTTAATTTCCTCTACGATATTCAATTGTGCATTTGCTTTGCATGGGTGTTGCTAGTTTTATAGACAGCATTTTTGTAACAGGCACTGGTTTTTCTGCCTGCAGGTTAAACTGTCTGATTATATAGGGAAGAAATATGTTATTCTCTTTTTCTACCCACTGGACTTCACATTTGTTTGTCCCACTGGTGAGTTGACTTTTGACTACATTGTCTGGTTAATTTACTACCTGATGGTTGCTGTCTTGCTGATGATACAACTCGCATGTCTGCCTTATTTTTATTTATTTTTTTTTATTTTTTTCAGAAATCACTGCGTTCAGTGACCGTCATGAAGAATTTCAGAAATTGAACACGGAAATATTGGGTGTCTCGATAGACAGTGTGGTATGTTGCCTTTTGGATTTAAAGCTGGTTGAAAATTTTTCTTTTTCCTACTCTTCAACTTTCTGTTTTGTGTCATTGCTCATGAATAGCTACAGCGGTGGATGTTTGTATATTCTATGTTTGATTGTTATGCATAGTTCACTTGAATACACTTTCTTATCTTTTGAGGACACATGGTTTCCAATGAGAAGATTTTGCATATATATTAATGTTGGTTACTACAGATGTGGTACTTTGCAACCCTTACATCCATCTTTTCGTTTCGTTTCTTTTATTTTTTCTCTTGTTCTGTGATATAGTTGTGCATGCTTGATCTGCTAACCCAATTCATTTCAATTTCCTTGGGGAGGTTATGGATGAAATTAAGAGTTTAATGCCAAATGTACTGTTGTTTTAGACCCGCATACGAAGATATTTTAGAAGACATAGAGACTAAGATTGTTTTAGGACTTTTGTATCAAGTGAACTCGAAGTACGACCTAATGAAGTAGGAAGGAAATTAGATTTCCTTTTAGATTCTGTTCCATCACTCTGTGCTGCCCAGTTCCCACTTCTACTATTGGAATTTCTTTCTGAAACATGCTCATTCTAAATAAGAGCACCAAATGATAATTTTCTCTCACCCAATGAGTCACCACGAGGCTTTACTACTTATTTCTGTTACTATGTTTTATAAATGCTTATGTCTACTAATACTTTTCTCTGTCAACTGTCATTTCCTTTAGTACTGGTTGGAATTTGTTGGTTTCAGTCATATTGTGTTATTAATCTCTTTTTGTTTGATTTGCTGGTCTTCCTTGTTCTCTTTTTTGTCATCTTTCTCGTTATTGACTTTTTTGGACGGATGGTTTTCTCCTAATTTAGTACTTATAGTGGCTTTAGTTTACCGCAATGGGAAGGTGACTTTTATGATTTTCTGAAGAATTTTTTGGCTTCTATGCTGTCAGAATATTTTGTTCTTATGCACTTTTCATTGTTAGCTTTGTCATATTTGCATTGATTAGTCTTGTTGAATCTTAATTTCATATTTTTACATCGTATTGACTTATGCTTGACTATCTGCAGTTTTCCCACCTCGCATGGGTCCAAACAGACAGAAAGTCTGGGGGTTTGGGCGATTTGAAGTATCCATTAGTTTCTGATGTGACCAAATCAATTTCTAAGTTATATAATGTGCTGATCCCAGATCAGGTATGTACTACTTAGATACTGTTGGCATTTCAAAAACCAATTAATCGACTTGGTTAAAGATATCGTTATGATCTTAATGTTACCTTGATATTCATTTCGACATCCGTGTTTACTGCTACTAATGCTGTCTATAATCAGTTGTAGCTGATATAATAAAAAATTATCTTTTGACTTGATGTAGAGTATATGGGTTGTTATCTAGCCAAGTGTAAGAAGTAGAATATGAAAAATTCTCTTGGCAACAGATGAAAAGAGACCAAGAATATGACCTGCATTTCTATTTTAGTGCAAGTAGAACATTTTCTACCTGGTGTGCTGATTAAATTGATCAATCCATCCAATGATAATGTGACCAATTTAGAATAATTCAGTACCTGAAGTTAGTTTGGTAATTTTCTGTTGAAGAGTAATATACTGTCTTTCTTATCATCTGGCTTTGTGAGAAAAAGGCTCATGATATTCCTCTAACTAAAGACAGCACTAGAGGTAGCTTTGGAAATATGAAGAGCTTTATTATGATGATAAATTTATGATGGCCATCCATCCTACTTACACCTGTTCACCGTGATGGAGAACTATTTGGATAAGATATCCACCTTCTTGAAAAAATTTACGGAATCTTTACATTTATGAAATTTGTCTAAGCTTATATTTGGAGTCTACCCCATAGTTGTAGCTAGAGGAATTCTACTTTGTAAATTTCTGAGGGTCTAAAATTTAGGAGAAAAAACTATAATTGAAGATCTTATGCATATTGCTGTTTCAGGGAGTTGCACTAAGAGGACTTTTCATCATTGACAAGGAAGGAGTTATACAACACTCCACCATCAACAATCTTGCCATTGGCAGAAGTGTCGACGAAACATTGAGAACACTCCAGGTAATTTACATTATTTACAATATAAAACTTACAGGGAAAACATCTGGGTTTTTGTCCCAGGCTTTTTTACGCTATAGTATTTGGCATGACCATAATCTAAAATAACTTTATTAGCAAAATACTTCAGTGATTTGTTTTATTATATTCATTATTATTAAGTGGCATTCAGTTAGGATACAGTTTCCATCAAGCCTGGCTGTTTCTTTTAACATTGGCTGTGTATCTGGTTCTGCCATGTCAACAAATTTCTTCACCCTAAATCTTATCATAAATGGTAAATTTTAGCAACGAAATTACTGAAACAACCCAGAGGTTAGGATTGCAAAGTTCAACGGGTATCAGATTATACGGGATTATTTTGTCTGCATAAACCATAAATCTTGTATATGCATTAAGATGTACCTGTATATAAAGTAAAGCTATTGGTGGGGGATGCTAGTGGGTTTTTAAGTGGCTTGAAGTTTGTAGAAATCACTTAAGCGGTTTCAGTTTGATTCCACGGACATTTTCCCTTTCCTATTCAAACTAGAATCTCATCTTGTCTTAACTGCAACACTGGTTTCTCACAATATAATGATAAATTTGAAGAAGTTTCCAACTAAGG